AGTTTGAAGTTTGGATGGGGTCCTATCTACAGGCTGTGCTGGAGGAATGGAGGCGCATCTTTTTTGTTGCTGGTTATGGATGCTGCTCTAGCAGAGCAATGTAGATCTAGTCCAAGAGACTTTTTAGCTCAGCTGGGAGGTGGTTCAGGAACAGTTTGACGTGTTCCTGCCTTGTTTCAAAGGTGACACTACAGGATGCTGGTGTGAAAAGGGAATTCCCTTTGCCATGATGTTTTCCTTCTGGGCACAGCTGAGGCTGTGGCTGTGGCTGTGTGAAGCAGACTAATAACCTTATTACCTTCTCCTCTCAGACTGTCTGTCTGATGAATGTAAAGAAGTGAAACATCAACACTCCATCCCATTCTTCATCTGATATTATCTCCTTGTGTCTCAGACCTGAGAAGAGCTTTAAGTGTCCAAAAGCTCCTCTGTCTTTTCCAATTAGAGCAGCCGGAAAACTGATTCTCCAGCCTCACTTATTAGGTACAAAGTGGGCTGATTCAGTGGGCTGATTCCTCTCCCAGGAAAAATATGGCCCCTTCATGCTCTTCTGATGGCTCTGAACCTGGGCAGCCTGCACATTGAGATGAGGCCAGATACAGCTGTCTTTGCTGCTTCAGGTTGTGTCTCACAGCCATTGCCTTGGCTGTGACTGTGGAATTGTCAGGCAGGAGGGAGACCACGGTGTGGAGGAAGAGGCCACAGCACAAGGCTTCCGTTTTCTTTTCTAATTTGGAATTTGAACTGTGTGTGGCACATGCAGGTGGCATTTGAATGCTTTTTGATAATTTTACAAAAGGACTCCACTGTTCCTAGATTTCACAACCAGGAAAGAGAAGGAAATTAGCCGAACTACTTAGGTCCGGCTTCCAATATCCAGTCCTTAAAATGACATGAAGCATGTTGCTTCAGAGATACTGTCAGGGTTTGGAAGAGGATGAAGAAGGGTCATGAAACACAGTGAGACATCTATAGGGGAAACATGTAGACAAAGCTGGTTTGCATACCAGCTGCTGCTAAGACTGACAAACATGGCTTTGCCACATTTTGCTCCCAGGTAGAGAGGACTTGGGTGTTTTCCACACATGTTCATCCCTGCAGTTTAACTCAAGAAGGGTGCCGCGGCGGCAGAAAGCCCGGAGCACCGTGACTTCTCCAGAGGCAGCCTTAAGAAAGGCTGGGCCAAAGCGTGTGTGAGCAGCTTCGAGCAGTGAAGTGATTCCAGCTCAACTCAGTAATAGTAGAGTGATTTCAGCTCAGCTCGGCTCAGCTCAGCGGCGGCGGCAGGCAGGCGACACAAGAAGCAGGGACGAGATAGCTGGTCCAGCGTTCCACTGAGGCACAACCTTTATTTAGGCAGAGCTTCAGTGAAGGGTGCCAGTAACAGTGAATCTCCCAAACAGGGGAAAACCCGGGATATTTATGGGGAAGGAGAGGGGCGGGGGGAAGCCCGAGATACCTGTATCGGGGTGGGACAGCAGGGGAGAACACCAATGAAACACAACAGTTTAACATATCTAACTCAAAGACCCCTGGGAGCGACACATTGTGTCTCTCTCACAGCGAAGTATCTCCTCTCCAGGGGAGAGCCAGGATCTCGGGCCCAGCGGGCTCCTCCGTACCCACAACTCCCCCTTCTTATTAAAAAGGCATCCCCTAGAGAGTTAGCTGATAGCTTCTTAAAACATGAAAACATACTTAGGAAGATAATAACAATCAAGAAAACCCAAAAAATGTTCTTGAGGACGGAGGCAACCCATCTCTCGAGTCCCCGGCTCACAAAAAGGTCTTCAAGCCACTGGGGCTCTTTTTCAGTCTGGAGTTTTTGGACTGCATGTTGGAGTCTCTGGATGCAGGCGTGGATGCCTTCACTGGGGCTGGAGAGGTTAAAGCAGCACAGACCATCTGATTCCTCGCAGCCGTGTCCATGGGCCAGGAGTAGAAAGTCTATGGCAGCTCGGTTTTGTAGTGTGGCATGCCTAACAGTCTCTTCATCTGTCAGGAGGTCACTCAGGACAGACGAGGTCCGGTTGGCCTGCTTACCAAGCCAACACTCCAGGTGAGAAGGCTCACCAAGGGCTTTAGCAGCAGCCGCCCACGGCAAAAATGCTGACATCCCCACACTCTTTGTGTAGGACCGATCTTTAATTTGGCTATTGCAATTTTCATCTAATTGGGCGAGATCTTTCTTTTGGCGGGCTAATTCATTCTTTTTCAGCCAATCATGTATTAGAGTTGAATTTGGAGTGAGGATGGTAAGCTGTCCAAGCATACAAGGACCTCCCCGGAGTCGGGAAGGGATTCCTGCCCACACTCTATCCCCACAGATCAAGAACACTACCCGGGGCAGCACTCTGGGATAGTGAGAGGAGGTGGATCGTGTGCTGCCGGTGTAATTGCACCAGTTGGACTGACTGTAAATTTTACTGTTGGGAGTCACATTTTTCCTTGATTTAATTGCCTTTTGGTATTTCGAGGCAGGCCATGCATTGGCTACTGCGTGATAATTAAAATTTATGCAATAGGTAGCTTTGGAGGATCCCAAAAGCTCTAATTCCTGGGGTTCCTCTGGTGCATGGGGCAAGATCTTTGTCCACTCATCCCAAGTGTCTACTGGGTTGGATTCTTTCCCTGTGAAAGGATATTCATGGGGCTTTAAAGGAATCCCTACCAGGCAGGATGACAGAGGGTTGGTGGCGCTGCCCATGGACAAGCACATGTGGTCTTGTTGGAGTGTCTTTGCGAGGGTGATCCACACGTTCTCCTGGGGCTGTGCTACTAGCCAGGCATTCACAGCTGATGTTTTCAGGAGCATCCAGATAATCAGGAACATCAGGAACTCAAGGATGGTTTTGCTCTCCATTTTCTACAACAGGACATAAAAGATTAGCTCTGATTTTTGGAGGGGGGGGAGCTATTTTCTTTCTCCCTTTCCTCTCCTGTCTCCCCCCTCTTTAAAAAAAACAAAAACAAAAAAAACCCCAAACAATTATAAGCAAGGTTATTCTGTGTGTTGGGGACACATGACCCGACACCAGCAGCAGCACAGAGGTGCACTTTGGTGCAAACTAACAATTTGGGCTAGGCAACGAGGGCAAGAAGGGGAAGGGGGAGTGAGTTAAGAAGACTCGTGTACTGTCATGGTGTCAGGCGTGACGTTGGCAGTCGTCTTGTTGTGGCCCTGGTAGCAGGACGGTTGCCAAACTCTGTCTGGTTGTTGGTCTGGTGGCAGGTCGGTTCGGTGGACTCCGACAACGTCTCCGTTTCCAGGCTGCAGTGGATTGCTGTTTTTTTGGACCTGTGTGGGTCTCAGGAGACTTTGAAAGTTCTGAATCTGGTGCAGGGTTTGTAGGGCCTAAATAAGGTTTCACATTTTTCCCTGGGAGCCACTTAGGTCCTGATGGTGTGGATACACACGCGTATCCTCTCCCCCAGGTAATCGGTGGGAAAGGTCCCGATGTCAGTTGTGATTCAGGATCCTTGATCAGCACTGGCGGCTTCTCTGTGAGTTTGGCATGAGTTGAGTTACAGAAGTGCTGTATTACAGGGGGGTCAGGCTCTGTAGGCGAGCAATTTAGAAAGTTCATGACATATAGAGCCTTACAGAGCCTCTCAATGGGGGGAATGATTTCTGTTCCTCCCCGCTGGTGATCAAGGACTCTTTTCAGGTTTTGGTGGGTTCTCTCTACTATTGATTGCCCTGTGGGGGAATGAGGAATGCCCGTGGTGTGTTTCACCCCCCACTCATTGAAAAAGTCTCTTAATTTGTGAGAGGTGTAAGCAGGTCCATTGTCTGTTTTAATTTGTTCTGGGACTCCCAGGGTAGCAAAAGCAAGGAGAAAATGTCGGATGGTGTGCTTGGCATTTTCTCCTGCATGGGCTGAGGCAAACACTGCACCAGAGAAGGTGTCTACGGAGACATGTACATATTTGACTCTCCCGAAAGACGGGACGTGAGTGACATCGGTTTGCCATATCTGGCAGCTGTTCAGTCCTCGGGGGTTAACCCCAGAGTTAACGACTGGTATTTGGAACGATTGGCAATTAGGACAGGTGGCAACTATTGCTCTAGCTTGGTCTCTGGGTAGTCTGAACATTCTCATCAGTGCAGGCACGTTTTGGTGGAAGAACTGGTGGGACAATTTCGCTTGTGCGAAAATGTCAGGGACATTGGCTGCCCCAGCAGGCATGGCTAAGGCATCTGCCCTCGTGTTTCCTTCAGCAATGGCACCTGGGAGGTCTGTGTGCGCCCTCACATGCATGACATAGTAAGGTTGCTTTCTGTGAGAGATAAGATATACTAATTCAGAAAGCAATTGGTATGAATTTGGGTTAGAGACCTCCTTTAGAAATGCATGTTCTGCTCTCATATCTATTCCAGCCACATAAGCCGAATCAGTCACCAGATTGAAAGGTTCTTGGAATTTCTCAAAAGCTCTGACAACGGCTGCTAACTCAGCAATCTGTGGTGATCCCTTGACCACTTGGACATCGGACTCCCATTTCTGTGTCCTGGGGTCCTTCCAAGTCATGACTGACTTGTGGGATTTCCCTGAGCCATCTGTGAAAACCGTCAGGGCCTGGAGCAGTGTTTTGCTCTGTAATGATTTGGGGACCAAATTAAATGTGGTTTTGAAAAGTCTGTGACCAGGTGGGTGTATAGAAATTTGGCCTGAATAGCTATCGAGAGCAAACTGAAGGCTCTCATTGGTTTGGAGCAAAGGCTCCAAACTTCCAGTTGCCAATGGGAGGAAGATGCAGGTGAACTCACAGGCTGCAAGAGTGTGGAGACGGACTCTAGCTCTTTTAATGAGTTCAGCCATGATTTCCTGTGGGGTGGTAATAGTCTTAGTGGGCTGGTTATGTGTAAAGATCCACTCGATGATAAGGAGAGGATCCTTCAATGCAGTGTCCCATTGAAAAATGAGCGTGTGTAAGCGCGGGGCCTTACCCAGGATAACCAGCTGGAAGGGCAGGCTGGGCTCATACCGGTGGGCTTGTCATGAAGACAGGGCCTCCTGGACCTTGGTGATGGATTCCTGGGCCTCCAGCGTGAGGGAGCGTGGTGAGTCGAGGGCCTCACTGCCACAGAGCAGGTTGAAGAGGGGTGCAAGGACTTCTGTTGTTACCCCAAGCAGAGGGCGTATCCAGTTGATGGACCCGCAGAGCTGATGTAGGTCCCGCAGGGTCTTGGGGTCGTCTTTGATGGTCAGCTGTTGGGGCACAATGGTCCGCTCGCGGATCTGGAGTCCCAGGTAGGTCCAAGGGCAGGTGTGCTGGATCTTGTCCTCACAGATCTCAAATCCAGTGTCCTCAATTATCTGGATAGTTTTTTGTAAAGTCCAGTGCAGATAGTCATCGTCAGCAGCACAAACCAGGATGTCATCCATGTAGTGGAGGATGACGGCATCTGGGAACAAGGTCCTCACAGGTGACAGGATGTGGGCCACGTACCATTGGCAGATGGTAGGAGAATTTTTCATCCCCTGAGGAAGGACCAGCCAATGGTATCTTTTTAAAGGTGCTTGTCTGTTTGGAGAGGGAACCAAGAATGCAAATCTGGGAGCATCCCGAGGATGGAGTGGTATGTTGAAAAAACAGTCCTTTATGTCAATGACAGCCAGCTTCCAATCCCGGGGGAGCATTGAAGGGGAGGGCATGCCAGGCTGAAGGGGTCCCATTTCCTCAATGACATCGTTGATCTTCCGGAGATCCTGAAGGAGTCTCCACCTGTCTTTGCCTGGTTTGCACAGGACAAAGACAGGGGAGTTCCAAGGGCTATTGGACTCAGTGATGTGGCCCTTGGCAAGCTGCTCTTCCACAAGGGCTTCCAGTGCGCGCAGTTTGGTCTCAGATAGGGGCCACCGATCAACCCACACTGGATGGTGCTGTTTCCAGGTGAGTTGGGGGATGGTAGGTGTGGCGCGCTTCTCAGTGACCCCGACTAAAAATCCCTGCTGGGAATCCGCAGAGAAGCCCCCCGTTGGGACAGGAGATCCCGTCCCTAGAGGGTGATTGGTGCTCTCACCAAAAATGGCCTGATGGTTGCCATTTGTCCCTCAGGTCCTTCGATGACAATATTCCGTTTGCTCCTCATGGAAGCTGTCATCCCTCCAATTCCTGAAATCATGCCTGTTACAGGTTGTAATTCCCAATTGTCTGGCCACTCGGAGCAGGCGATGATGGTAACATCTGCTCCAGTGTCTATCATTCCTGGGCGCTGAATCCTTTCCCCATAACAAAACAGGCTGCAGTCCACGATGGGTTTGCAGGAGCCCACAACCTGTGTCCACATAGCAGTGGGGTTGAGGGGAACATGATCTGGGCAGTCACTAGGAAGTAAGAAGGCCTGTACCACAGGAGTCTGTTCCTTTAAATAATAAGGAGGGTCTATGCAGGTCAGAGAGATTGGAAATTTCATCTCCAGGGTATATAGTCTGGACCTCAGGAACAGTATGAATTTGTTCTGGACAGTTGGTAGGATCCCCAAGTATTAAGATGTTAGAGGGACCACCTGGTGGTCCACGTTTCCCTGTGGGGACTTTGTAAATACAGTCACCCTTCATATGTAAAGAGAGTCTAGTTACCAGTTGACACTGGGTTCCCATCTGAAGCACTCCACCTGCTGGGCTTAATATTGGGGTCCCTGTGGAGGCAGGATGGTGGGTTTGGCAGGAGGGGTGGAGCGGTGCAGCATTTGATTTGATGTCGAAGCGCGGGGCCGTTCCGCGCTCTGCTTGAAGTTTCCCGAATGCCAGTTCTGTCTGGGGAACCGTTGGTGGGCTGGAGGTTGTATAGAATGTCTCTCTGGACAGTCTTTGAAAAAATGCCCAGGCTCACCACAATTAAAACAACAATTTCTATTGGGGTCTGCAGCATAAGCTCCAGATATCGCCTCTGCCACTCCTTTAGCCACTGCAAGTGCCACTGTATTCTCACTTGAGGCAGAGGAGTGTTTGGTGCAAGCTTCAACCATCTGATCTATGGTTGGTTCGGGGTCCAGAGGGAGGGCTTGCAAAACTGCTCTGCACTCCTGATTAGCATTGGCCATTGCTATTTTTACTAATAATTCCTTTTGTGCCTGTGGGGTCTCTATCTGCTTTTCAATGGCCACTTTTAACTTATCAATATACTTAATAAAAGACTCAGTTGCCCCTTGCTTAATATTGGTGAAGCAATGTGTTGGCACTTTATCATCAGGGGTGGTAAAAAGAGATATCTTAGCAGCATTAGCTATATCCTGTAAAGCTGCTTCAGGCAGGTCTCGGGCCTGATCTCGGGGCTTTTGGAAATCTCCTTCTCCTGCTAATTGCTCTAAAGTAAAATTAGGTCTGTTAGCATCTCTTGCATAAACATCTGATAACTGCTTTAAATGTTTCTTCCACTGCCTCTCCCACAACATGTATTCTGCTGGAGAGAGAAGGCAGTTCATAATATTCTTGATGTCATGGAGGACCATGACGTGGGCAGAGAAGGAGGCTTCCAGCATGCGTTTAAAAAAATGTGAACCCCTGCCATTTTCCTCTGCAGCTTTGCAAAGTTCCTGCAGTTCCCTATAATGAAGGGACTCCCATGCAGCAACCTGTGCCCCTGTCCTGTCTCTCCTCATTATTACAGGAAAGGCAAGTATTTTCTGGGACAGAGCTGAGTTCCCCGCCCGTGTGGCTTCCCTCTGCACCTCAGCCCAGGGGTCTTCATACTCAGAGTCTGAATAAGAAGATTCACTGCTCTCATCTCCTAGTGGAGATGGGGCGCGCTTGCTAGCAGCGCGGGGCCGGCTCAGGTGTCTAGAGCTGGCTTTTTTGTGGCTGCGTGGGGAAGCCGGGATGGCCCTGCTCCGCCCGGAGCCGTCCTGACCTCCGGGGCACTGTGTCCCTGGAGCGGGATCGCCGCTGAGGATGGGGCCCTCACGCAAAGGGACAGGAGCGGGGCCGCGATGGGGAGCGGTTTCCGGATGGATGGGCTGGGGCCCGACGCGGTTACACCCAACGACGCAGTGTGGGGGGAGGGGGAGCAGGACGCGGCAGGAAGAGAAGGGGTGAAGGCGGGAAAGCCGGGGTGGGAGTGGGACAAAATGGCGGGGCTGGCCACGCTGCCAGAGTCAGCTGTGCTAACGCTAGGAATTGGGGGGACACAACCGGGTGTGAGGGCATGGGAGAGAGGGTAGAGGAAAGACCCAGAGCGGCATGGCCACTGCTGCCCTGGTACGGGCAGAGAGACAGTAGGGGGGAGTCAGGGAGATGGCAGCAGCCCTGTGCCCAGGGGCAATGTCCACCTCCCGACTGACTCTCAGATAGGGGAAGGGGTTCGGGGACACCTGGAGGGGCTGACGGGATTGGGGAGTTTAACTGGGGACCCAAAACTCCCTCTTCTTTTTTTCCCTCTTTTTCCAATGAGAAAATAATATTTTGAAACACAGGAAAAAATTTTGCAACAGAAAAATCCCCTTTAGCTTGAACTGTATATAACTTTCTTCCCACATTATCCCAAAAAATTCCTGATTTAGGAATTCAGACTCCTGATTCAGAGTCTGAATTAATTGTAAAATGTTTAAAAACCCAATGAATAAATCTTTTTAAATCCCCTTTAGAAAACTTAAAATTTCCTGCTTTTAGGGTAGTTACAACTTGGATATAAAAGTCCCTCTCAGGTGGGGTCAGTCTCCTTACAGAGGACTGATTCCCCATCCTTTTTCACTCCCCACCCAGCAGTAAAACAGCAAAAAAAAAAAAAAAAAGAAGCCCGAAAGAAAAAAAAAACCTTTCACGGGATAGACTTACAATTTCTCTTCGGCAGATGCCAGCAGGCGAAAAAAAAGCTGCTGGGTAGGTGGTCACCTGGCGGCCGGTCCTCAGGGGTTTTTCCTTGCCCCAGATGGTCAGACGAGGGTCCCGGCCGCAGCCTCTTGGATCGCTTCTTGCTAGAATGCAAGCAAGCTTCCTCGAGGCGGGGTGGCTCCAACAGCGGCTTGCCTGGCAGCTAAAACTGCGAGTGGACGCTTTTTCAGGGCTTCTTCAAAGCCCCCACGTTCGGGTCGCCAGTTGCCGCGGCGGCGGAAAGCCCGGAGCACCGCGACTTCTCCAGAGGCAGCCTTAAGAAAGGCTGGGCCGAAGCGCATGTGAGCAGCTTCGAGCAGTGAAGTGATTCCAGCTCAGCTCAGTAATAGTAGAGTGATTTCAGCTCGGCTCAGCTCAGCTCAGCGGCGGCAGCAGGCAGGCGACACAAGAAGCAGGGACGAGATAGCTGGTCCAGCGTTCCACTGAGGCACAACCTTTATTTAGGCAGAGCTTCAGTGAAGGGTGCCAGTAACAGTGAATCTCCCAAACAGGGGAAAACCCGGGATATTTATGGGGAAGGAGAGGGGCGGGGGGAAGCCCGAGATACCTGTATCGGGGTGGGACAGCAGGGGAGAACACCAATGAAACACAACAGTTTAACATATCTAACTCAAAGACCCCTGGGAGCTACACATTGTGTCTCTCTCACAGCGAAGTATCTCCTCTCCAGGGGAGAGCCAGGATCTCGGGCCCAGCAGGCTCCTCCGTACCCACAAAGGGAGTCCTTTCTCTCTGCTGACATGCAGCCCAGCAAACACCATGTCTTACTGACCTCACTTGCACTGGTAGATGCTCTTTTGAAGGCTTTATGGATAAACTGACCTGTATCTTACTGGAACACGTTGAGATCTTAGCCTGGAACACCAGTCTCTGATGTAGTAAGACTGATGTAAATTCCTTTAAAGAAGGACCCATGCTGGAACTGAAAGTGTTGAAGTACCATGAAAATGTGGCATCCCAGAGCACTCTTGCCACTTTGCTTCTGTGATGAGAGTTGCTTCCCATGCGGGGAAATTTGAAGATGGAGGTCATGTGATTCCCTCACTGAAAAAAATATGCTGTTCCCCTGCTTCACGTTTTGAACTCTGAAGGTCTCTCTGCCAGCAGCAGAGGTTTTAGAGGACTAGGGACAAAGAGCCTGGGAAGAGTTCCCATTTCTCCTGAAATTTCCCACATGCATTTCCTACACTTCCCATGGGACTGTCCTGAAGGTAACACTTTCCTGTGCAAGCTGTCTTGGGCAGCCCTGGCAGCTGACAGCTTTATTCTAGAGCTCTGTGTCCCTTGGTAACCCAGTGTGTGGGCAAGAGACAGTGTGAGAGAAAATCCAGCTTTTGGCAGCCCTAACTGTGTTGAGCCTGGCTGCTTTTCCCTGACTGTCCTGAGGGACTGTGGGGAGTAGTGGAGAATGTGGGTGACCTCATGTCAGGGTGAAAGAGAGGGCCAGGGGCAGCAGTGGCTGTGAACCCCTTGGCTCTGTGCTTCCCTACCACGGGGGCAGAGGATCCCTGTGGAACAGAAGGTGCTGTAGAGCCTTGCTGCAGGAGTCCCTAACACCTAGTGCCAGGTACCTGGAGGAGCCTAGGGTTTGGTTGGGACCTTCTGTGTCCTTGTCTCTGCTGAGGGAAATGCTTTTTCCCCAGCACACATACGTTTGGTGTATGAAGGCAGCAGGTACACCAGCTAAGACCCATTCCATGAACTGCACTGAGGCAATGCTCCTTCCAACTTCAAAAGTGCTCAGCAGGAGACCTGACTTTTAAATTAGCAAGAACAGTGTTTTTATGACTTCTCTCACAGTCCCTGAGTGGCTGCCAGCCTTGAAAGCAGCAGGGACCCCAGGCTGTCATTTGAAAGCCCCGACAATGGCAAAGTGGTAACAGAAACACTCTGGATGAGCTTTTTGGAGAAACCCTCAGAGCAATTCAGTTCAGAGACTGGTATTAGTTAAATTCTGCTTTCCTGTGCCCTTTATTAGGAGCCTGGAAGCAATTACCTCGCCCCTTTGAAGTGTGTCCTGACTCTCTCCCTCTAGTCTCCATCTCCTGTCACCAGCAGTCCAGGCACCTCCAGGAAAGTGAATGGAAAATCTGTGCATGGCAGATCGATAGGCTTGGTAAGAGAGCTGACACCAGGAGATAGTATCAGTTTGGTGCAGAGGTTAATATTCCATATGGGAGTGGTCCAGGACCACAGTGTGCACAATACCTGCTATGAGAGAAAAAAGGAGCCAACCTGTCATTAATTTTGTGCTGTGTGTAAAATAAAGCTGTTAGTGATATTTAGTGCTTCTTTTGCACCTTCCCTTTGAGAGCTTGAAAGCATTTTGTAGGCACTAATTAGTAATGGGCTCCAACTCCTTTGGAAAACACAGCAAAAAGGTAATCTTTTGTACCTGGGGAAACCGAGGAAGAAGGACAAGGCATTTCCTACACAAGCACAGCAGAGCACAAAGCAGCAGGTAACTAGGTTGGAGACACAGTGGAGGGGCGGGGGGTGTCGGGTCTGTATCTGTGTGTGTGTAAAACAACCAGCCCTGTTTGCTCAGAGCAGGCCAATGTGGAAACACAGGACAGACAGCACAGGGCAATCTTCAGCCATCACCTGAGACAGCTGTCCCAAGGTTTACAGGAGCAGCTTTCAGGACCGTATGAAGTCCTGACCCTTGCCATCTGCCTCTCAGCTTGAACTGCAGTAGCTCTGTCTGCCCTGCCCTGGCAGAAAGATGGAAGCAGAAATTAGTAAGACTGTTTTGTCTGTTGAAAGACAGGCTGAACTGAGTATCTTCCAGAATGCTTTGGAAGCTTCTCTGCTGAGGGTCAAAGAAGAAAAGAGGAGTGAGGAAGTTACCCCCCTGTCACTGGGTGGGTCATGACTCTCCAGAGTTTGTTTGAGCAACCTTTTCACATCAGAAGATCATGACTTGCCAACATGTTTCTATTTGCTGGGCTGCAAACACAGCACATTCAACAGTAGACAAGGAACAGTCAAGTTCTACCCAGCAAAGACATCAAAGGGAGTGCTTTTAATTGGAAGAGTTCTGGGAGGACTTCACTCTCCAGGTAACCAGGCATTGCTCTTTAGGTGGCATTGGGTATGCTTGAGTTTGACTCAGCCTGTGCTTTAGCCTCATTGTGTGAGGAATGTGTGAATGTGTCACAGGCAAAGACTCTTTTGTGGCCACACTTTTGTGGAGATTGGTCTTTCAGAGCTTTACAGACACAGCCAGTAATTTTTAGGCCCGGCAAGCCAGTAGTTCATCCTACCTGCATAAAACAGGCTGTAGAACTTCATGCTGGTCCCTTGTTTTGTGTCCAGCTGTGGAAACAGTCACACACATTAGCTATTGAAGTCCACTACCCCACTCCTCTCCACTAAGCTCTGTTCCTCACTGCCAGCTGGGATTTTGTGTCTCCTGCAGAAATATTCCCAGCACTTCATTCTTGGTTTTCTTGCCTCTCCAGTGAAAGGCTTGGTGTTTCCCTCCTGCCCTTTTAATGACCACTGCTTCTGCAGGACCTGTTCTCCACGGGTTCTGCTCAGGTACACTCAAGATGTAGCATAAACCTTGCTATGAAGGGCAGTGGGAATTTGAACACAGGAGGAAGATGAGAAGTTATTT